CTGCTCTATTCGATTGCTAACTTTGGATTTCTTTCCGCAAGAAGTAACACATCATTACCGGCTGCAAGATCTCGAGGAAGGAGATTGAAGCAAGTCGATGACCTGTGAATATCCGGGATAATGTCCAATAAAAATTCCTGTGAAACTTATATTCTTACAGTTCAACAGAAGCGTCTTATGGCTACGATACGATATGCTTCCTTTCTCCGCAACAATAAAGCAACAGCAAATGCCGTTCCCCATCAACGGAACTTTTGTGCTTTTGAAATTACGCAGTGTACGTCATTGAAAGTAAATTTATTTACATTTAATCTTTCGACACCATCAAATATTATTTGAATTTTTCGTTCATCTTGTCCACGAGTCGTTATCGTAAATTCGAAATATATGGGCCAGGGTGACAAAGGCTTCTCTAATCATTCAACACACGCCTGTAACCAGCATTCCTCTTTTGTACGTAATTGCCTTGATAAAAAAAGCTAGCACCGTCAATGCTAACTACCGCTGCGTAGCTAGCAGACCGTGTGAAGTTAATGACAGGTTTTAATTGCGACGAGAGTGGCTTGTAAATACAAAACTTTACCTTAAGTTATCTCAGTATTCGATCCGGCGCTATGATTGTTTTCGTTGCCCATTCGCTCACTATTTCAGTAAAGCTTATGTTAGATTTAGAAGAGCCGCGACCATTGACCGTTCCTCAACCGGAGGTAACCGAATACTTTTGTTTAAAAGTATTTTGGATTTACCACTTGATTCGGTAGAAAATTAGTCAACAGTAACCCCCTGTTCAAAGATTAGCATAAATTGTAAGATGGCCTTAATCCTTTTCTGTCCTTGCTAATTGCATTCTCGGTTTCTTAGGTAGATGTACAGAAACGGGATATTAAATGTCGTTTTGCCATGGCGATCAATGCCTCGATAGTAGGCAGTCTCTCATTCAACAGTGGCTAATATTTTTACCGTACCATACTAATGGCGTTCGAATTGTGTCGTTCGTCGAAGGCCGTTTATAGAATGTAATACAAATATCAGCCACGGTGTAGGAACCAGTGAAACTTAGGTTGCGACTTTTAAATTATAATCTTGTTGCTTATAAAGGAGGTATGGTATTTACAGCATGCTCAGTTTCCCTATCCGTGATCAGACTCGTTTTCGTTATGGGTGCATTATGAACATAATTCGATTCACCTCCAGTATTCTCTACTCTGCTTTTCGCTTCCATCATTGGGAACTATTTTCACCATCGTATCGATCTTGGACAATTGTGGTCAGACAAAAATCAGTTTGCAATTCTTTACGTTCACCTTTTTCTCACTGCCGAGCCACATGGCCAGCCATTTTCTCTTAGCACCATTGTCGTCAAAAGAAGAATTTCCATTTTCATAACTATTTGTTTAACTTCGTGATTACACGCAATGCTTTATAAAGCTGTATAGTGCTATGGATCAGTATTCAACATAATGCTGATTTGTGGCTTTGTTCTTAGGGACAATTCGACTTGAGGTAACCAACTTACTATAAATTCAGGGTTCGTCTGATATTTAATAATTGGCGTCAATTTGGTGCTGACACTGCATATTGTATTTTAGTGTAAAATTGCCATCCCCGTTAAAGGGAACATGCTAGGAAAATTAAGTGTCAAATTGTTCGGCGGCCGTACCATTTAATATTCAGATTTATTTTCAGGGTGTCCTGCGCATTTTGTTATTATGGAATTGTGTTGTTCACCGCTGAATTGTTTCAATCAGGCTCTGAATGTCACGGTATGACTTACTTGCAAATACGTGCAGTGTGCCAAAATGACAAATTTCAGGCGGTATCGGGGAAACAATGCCCGAGGTGTCGTGTCCGCTGGAGTGCAAGCGTCTAACGACCCAGGACTACACTGACATTTTTTGGACAACTCTGTCTGAGTTCCCTGGTATTTTGACGTCGTGAAAATTGTTTTAGCGGTTCGAATTTTCCTCCTTATCAGGTTTGGTGATAACTGCCGTCCTTATGGAATATTTTGGGCGCAAAATGACTATGGCGATCGAGTTCATCGTCTACACAGCTTGTGCTTTCTTGCTTTTCATATGTTTGGACAGGTTTGTATTTGCTGATTATTCCTTGATGATTTTGTGACCATAGAACTGCAACGACGGTCATCATCTTTATTGCGAGAGCATTCATATCAGGCGCGTTTCAAGCAGTATTCGTCTACACACCCGAAGTAAAGGCGATCTGAAAGTTACAGTACACAAAGATGAATTTTTAGGTTTACCCGACAATATCTCGATCGGTTGGTCTTGGCAGTTGTTCGGCTATGTCTAGGGTTGGCGCGCTGACGACGCCGTTTGTCGCTCAGGTTTAATACCTATCTTACTGAGTACGCGTTATACCGATTTTCTATTTTTTACATAGGTACTGGCGAAAACGCATGTCAACTTAACAATCGCAGTATACGCGCTGTTCGGCCTCTTGACGTCAGTTGCGGTGCTTTTGCTGCCAATCGAGACCAAAGGAAGGGCAATGACCGTAAAAAATAGCCAAACTCAACTGCTAAGCAAAATCTTTAAATCTTTCTACCTTTAGGATGTCCACTGATGCGTTGCCAAACCGCTCCCGATGCAGTTCGTTCTTCTCTAAGCGTTGAGACTGCACCCGTTCAGTTCAGCTCGCTGGCTAGCTAGTCGCGGATTTATTTCAAGCAGCCCTTATGACGTGATAATAACACTAGAAGACTTCCTAATCATGTTACTATTTAAATATAAAATTATGGAACTACAAACGAGGCATTACTATTTGTGCAGATTTACCATCTGCGTTAAAAGCTCGTTGGCTGTATTGTCACAGTTTTAAGAAAAGTTTTAGACATTTCTTATTTTTCCCTGTTTTGTACAACTGTATCTGTATCTTTATCGGCATATTTAATGTATTCTTATGTTGGTATTGTTGTTCTTTCAAATGCCATTACACCGTAACAGATAATAATTACTTTCGTATTTTTAAAGCAAAAGCTCCCATGGAAGTTGACCTAAAAGTAAACTTTAAAAAAATACTCCTATGGACAAGCCAGCAATCGTTGAAGGCACAGTATCCTCAACTTTGATAATGCTACAAAATTTTCAGCTAGAGACCGCTACTTATACTGACTGTTCTGTCGCGTTGCACCACGATGGACGAAGTCATGGTACGACGTTATGTTAGTTGGCCGTCGAATTGTTTTTTTCTTCATCGAAGACTAATGGCTTAAAATGCAGACTAACCCATATTTGTCTGACCGTTAAAAATGATACCTCTAATTGATATCAGGGATTTACAGCGGGTCAAATTTCGTGATAAAGGCGGCTGAAGCACTTATTCACCGTACAGGTGTGGTAAACTGCGTGTTACGCAACTGCTCATCGCCTGGAACAATTCGTCGAACTGGCAAGCAAATAACTGTGGAAGTTACACTCTGATCAAAGGTTAACCACGTAAATAAATTAGTAGTCACTGTACTGCACTGATCAGATGCCATTTGCAACTGCATGTCAAACATTCTGGAAGAATTCTGTGGCACTATCGCGTATTGATCAGTGGGTCCCGTTATTCTTTTCTTTTTAGCCGCTTTGCAATATTGCACGCTGCTGAAAACCATACAAACGATCGAAGATGAAAACATCTGAGAACAACCGAAAGAGGCATCCGCCCTCACGACGACCAAAACGGATTCCATCTACAGATGGCATAAGTGGGTTCCATCCGTGCAAACGGCTCGAAACTCTGCTACGAGCAGGTGCATTGCGTGGTTGGCGTCGGAACGTGAATGGAAATCAGTTTTTCAGAGGGCCAGTATGAGAGATCTTCAATTAGCATTTGTATTCCGTGTTGTAAATTAAAGTTTGCAGTTATTGTTGATTTTATATAAGTTGTGTATGTATAATATTTAAAAAGTTGTAAAAATTTCACTGTTTGAAGGGAGAGGCCGACCACTATTTAGTAGTGTGCTGCGTACAATTCATGATAACGCATCCCTTGATCTATATTGCAGAATCTACATGGAAAGAATGGGTTCCATGATTTTCACATGTTCTCGGAGAAATAAACAGTCAAAACGAAAATTCCCTTTCAGACCATTCTAAAACCTATTGGCAGCTGAATACCTGAAAGTATATGAATATTTTACTACCATACTGCCTTTCGTCTCTGATCTTTCTTAGTTTTACATTCGATCAAGCACCGCCACCGTAACATCAACGAACTACGTGACTGGTATTCGTCAAAAGACTGGCCATTCCAACTGGCTCCGTGAGTTGACCTCTTACGACACCAGCGTTCATTTAATGTCAAAAGCTACTGTCATGCGCAGTGTCAGACAATCATATGGCACGCCTAATATGCAGGTGCAACTGAAACAAAACTCCGTACGCATCTGAATGTAATTCGGGTCAATGCGGACTGGCTTCGCTGAACAGAAATAGGCAGTATAACCGAATTTGTCGAGTCGATAGATGCAACCCTGGAAGTTTTTTCTTAAGGCTGTCTATCGCCTTAACACAGCCGATGAAGGAAAAGCTCTTTTTTCGTTAGTCTGAAGACTGCCAGTGATCTCCGCTTGACATTTTTCATAAACAATCCTCGCGCTATCCTCGAAGCGAATTAGCATTCGTAATTCACTTATCAAAATCAAAGGTATTCTGTGCTAACAAAATCGTTCAAGCACATCAGCGGATATGTCTACGTCAATGTCACTGCGGCATAAATCAATAATGGTTAGATGGCCATTAGAACCAAGGCGACAGTTTTGCGTAATTTGGTTTGATCCATTATTTGCATATAATCAAAGCATATCAATAAACACATTGAGAATACGCACATTTCATTCACAGAAAAGCTTAGAAAACCATTTTATGCGGATACTGATTAGTCTTAAGAGAAAACAATGACTTGAGGTATCCCATCATAAACGATTTTTCAGGATGCTTGTAAATCACATCCATAATCATGCCATCGACGAGTTTCTGGTCTTCCTTACGTTGTTCGCTCACGACATAGTCCTATAATTTGGCTCATCAGGGATGAAATAATGAATTATGTCCCAATTCTACAATAAGTAGACAATGCAAAGAAGAGGAAAAGAATATCATTAACCTTGGGATGTCGTTATACCACTAAGATAAAATACTATTTATGGCAAGATTCTTTTCGTGAAATTCCTTTATGCTGCGCAGTTACTTCTCTATATGCCACCAACTAGGGGGCTTAGGCCTAGCTGCTTGCTCCTTTTTCTACGTCTGCACCTACTGCTTCTGTTCTTGAAGTGAAGGTCTCAAGATGGTGCAGTTGCCTGCCTCCAGTATTTTAAGGCGGAGATTGCAAGCCACTGGCCAATATGTCTGAGTTACGAAAGCCGCAAAAAATTTTTACTTCCAAGAATCCGTTGGGCCTGATGAAAGTAGGGGAGAAGTCGGCAGGGGGTCACGTGGGTTAGCACTAGAATGGACTGCCGAACAACATAAAAAGAATTTTGCAAAGAACCACGCAAAATACCTATTTGTATCATTGCAAACATGTACAATTATAAATATTTGCGTGGCATTAGAAGCAAGACCGTAAGCATGAAAAATTAGGCTCTGGAAGGATAAAACAAACTTGGCCCTCTAGGTTGTGAAAAGAAGATCATTGCTTGTCGACCATGTCAGCGAAAATCAGTCCTCTTACACCGTAACCAATTGACGGTGAGACAGAAAAGTCTTAGGTGTCAAGAGGCGACGATCCCGTCTCTGACATCACTGACGATTAACGGACATTTTTTAGCAATGCAGTTTTCCGGTGACATAAAACTCAAAAATATCATACTGTATACATATGCGTTACCTCTTTTTTAACGGCAAAAATGTCCCCTTCTAGCTTTCGGTTTTTCTTCTGTCGTTTTGGCCGTCGAAAGTAAGCGTCCGTAAGGTGTTTTGGAAGTTTAACGCTCGATATATCCAGCTTAGTTTTGGTACCGATCACGTACGACTGACATGTTCTTCGCAAAGGACAGCCGTTCAGTTGGTAAGGACCTTTAAAACATCGTTCAAAATATCTAAATCATTTTATTTTACTACATTACCTGTTATTAAAATGAGTCCGCTACGTAGCTGCTTGAGGAACACAGCGTGCTAGAATTTCAATCTTTTATTTAGAAAAAGCAATCAGATATAAATCATGGGATTTCGTAAAAACCTTGAAATGGTTTTAAGCACCACAGAAAAAATATTCATGTTACTAAGATCACAGATACAGGAAATGCACAACAAATGTCGGTGGGGAGACCAACGGCCATGTTGCATAAGACAGTAAAAGACTATTAGAAATGAACAACGGCAAATTCTGCAACTGATAAGTAAACTAATTCCATGGCTGGCAGTATGAAAAACAAGAAAAGCTTTTACTTACACGTATTTTAAAGCTTCGACCTAATTGGTGCTCGTTTTCATTAAGGGTGACCGTTGCTAGTTATGTCGAAACGATGAAATACCCATAAGCAAAAGTTTTTATTTTTCATGCACTAATCATGGAATCAGAAGACACCAACTATTAAATCATCCAAGGAACGGCATCAGTATGAGCTATAAAAGATGTCTTTACACCTGAACATGTTAACAACTATTATTTTCAGTGACGGTCAAGATCGTTTCTAAACTTTTATAGAAATCTATGACCAACTACACAGCAAAGGATTTGCAGTATTGGATAAACCAAAACATAATGTATAAAACATTATAGATAACATAATTGTAAGAAAATATTTAAATGATTGTTTCGAAATATTTTTTTCATGGACTTTAGGATGCACAAGATGAAATATCTCTCGAGAACTACTATCAATCAAAAATAGCACCACCGAAGATGTTTTTTGCTAGCCATCTACAAATGAGCTTCTTGAATGCACCTGAAACAGTGTAGGTCATGATCCGGATAGAACATCCTGCAAGTGCTCTTTCTCAAACAATAAGAATAGGGAATGGTTTGTT